TTATTCGGCAAACATTTTGAATAACGGTAATTTGCTTCAACCGGGAAAATGAACACGTGTCAGCCAATATTTACCCAGTTGAGCCAAATTACTGCTATTCAAAAATTTGCCGAGTTTTAATTCGAGTAAACGTGAATATTTCGTAACATATGACAAAAATAACAGACAGAAATAAATTCATGATCATAAGAGTTTGTCGGATAAACACTATTTTACAGACAATTTCCAAAACAATTGAGTATAATTTAGAAACTGCCCAAAAAATTTCAACACTGATGAGTTTCGGCATTGCAATAACAAGAAACTTTATTTCAAATAAAGATATAAATTTAATTATTTAAACAAGGTAGTTATTTGTAATGTCATATTTAATAGGATGGCGAATTTGTAAATATTACTTGGCATGAGAATTTAGTGTATTATATATTTTATATTAAAATTTTTAGTTTTCTGGTATAGGTCAGGATTGCAGAAGCAATAAGTATTATCATCAAATAACAACATTTCTTTTGATTTATACAAGAACTCTTTAATCCAGCGTGTTTTAAAAAATCTAATCGAATCTTCTCACTACATTTTTCTTTATATAAACAATATTGCTAATGCTTTTTTATAAGATTTTTCAAAGCTATAGAAATATTATTTTTAGTATCTTCATCATTCAAGCCATCAAATTCTTTATTAGAATATGTGTCCTTACTTATTTCATTAGTATTTGATCTAAAAGAAAAAGTAGAATCTTGAATATCAAAAAATTGTTTCAGTAGGGAATTCTATTTTGAGTTGGTATTGCAATAGAATTGAAATTAGAGAAATTTTAGTTTTGAAATTTAGTTTGATTAATTGAATTATTAGGAACAAATAGTACTGAAGTAATATTTATATAAGTGTTGTGTGTAATATACCAGGAACGGAGTGATATTGAAAATTTCACGAAGTGAGTGATGTACGTCCACAAAATCTTGCATCTTATTGGGTATATGCATATGGCGAAGCAAAGGTGTGAATGCATATTGAAACTTCGCATGTT